ATAAATGTATACATCAACATGGTGAGATGTTTTTGGCATAAAATGATCGCAATTTAATAGATAATAATTAGATATAGAATCGTACCACCAAAACTCTGAAATGTCTTGGGAACCTACATGAGTGTGACCATGGCGTAAAAGCCTTTATATCCTGGTCGTCAAACATGACTTGTCCACATTTGGCAGTTGTCACAGACGCCCCCTCACAGGTTATACCGGCATTTACAATCTCATCCAGCACAACCTTGACCCTTGCTGGCTTACTGGTGAACTAGAATCGTGGTTAGCTGTAGAAATGCCATCTCCTCCATTTGTGCCCTTTTTTGTGGTGAGCTACAGTGTCATTGACACTTTCATATATTATATATATATTAGTCAGAAATAGCTAAACGAGCCAGGTCAAACAGAGGTCAGGGGGACATAGACCTTATCTGCTACAGGCACACACGAAGGTAAATTACTCGTAACATTTTGTAAACGTCTGCACATCCTTTCATTGACACGTTGTACATTGCCACACCACTGAATGCCGTCACATCTCGTATGTTTCATTTTACAAAATAGAGTGGAATGGAATAAAGTATCGTTTTTTGTTCTTAATTATACCTGTTTTCACACTCATCCTGAGGACTTCCTGACACATCTGCAACAGTGTATCATCGCGTTCAGGCAGCACTCCAATTTCCAGCTGCAGACTGTTCTATAAATCACATTTCACATAGATAAATGTTATTATTTACAATGACGTTTATGTTTAATCACACAAAGTCAAATAATAGCGCTCTAAACGTCGACAAAATTATTACATATAGATGGATTATATCAACCAAACAAAAATCATTATATCAAGAGCTAATAAATACCTATAGGGTAGCTGTAAGGTATTTATTAGCTCTTCATTATATCTGGATATCCATCAGACTGCATATGCTGGCAATAGTGGGAAAATTTATAGTGTAACAAGAAAGATGTGTAACCCCCCCCCCAATTAACTAATCACGTAAATGTTGTTTCATCGCGTATGTTTTCACAATGACACGATGTTACTGCATACACACATACACCTATAGTGGCGTTTCATCACCTCGAAAGATCACGACAGCGTACGACCCCATTTTCGGTCTTTTTTCTCCTTGTGTTCTCCTCCCATGTTTATATCTAGGGTTTTTTCATACTCGTTTTCAACGTTTCCGGGATGTTCAGACGGTCTATGAAATACAGTGAGTAAACTATAACCTTCAATTCTTGCGGGTGCTCAAAGTCGACCACGCTGGCGCACGGACGTGCACGCGTGCCAAGCACGTTCTCATTCTCCAGCAAACGCAGAACTTTGTGCAGAAATCCGGCCGCGTCGGAATCATCCGTCGTTGCTCCGCCCGTTCCCGGATCTGGTCCATATGAATCGCACATGATAGCTTTTTCAACAATAAATCTACCGTATAGTTTGTAGCGCGAGCGATGCCCGTGTTTTACCGTGGCAGATGTGCTTTCTATTAAACGATCTGGGTCCGTTGCTGTTGGTACGTGCGAACTTACGGACTGATATTAGTTAGTCATATATCTTACTAAGGTTCAAAATCCATTTTGAAATGTGGGGGGGGATATATATATATAATGTATACATCAACATGGTGAGATGTTTTGCATAAAATGATCGCAATTTAATAGTGATAATATTAGATTATAGAATCGTACCACCAAAACTCTGAAATGTCTTGGGAACCTACATGAGTGTGACCATGGCGTAAAAGCCTTGATATCCTGGTCGTCAAACATGACTTGTCCACATTTGGCATGTTGTCACAGACGCCCCCTCACAGGTTATTACCGGCATTTACAATCTCATCCAGCACAACCTTGACCCCTTGCTGGCTTACTGGTGAACTAGAATCCGTGGTTAGCTGTAGGAAATGCGACAGGCCTTTTCTTTTTACCGACTCGCAGTTCAATATCACAGATCCTTTTAAAGTCAGCCTTTTCTTGATGGCCAGTGACACCTGGAAAATGAGAGTTTGTAGGGCTTGAAGCCAAAACGGTGTAGGGGCAGAAGAATTATGTAGACAGAGCCATTGTCAAAGCTCAGACAAAACTTTGTCCTAGTACGATATTGGTCACAGTGTTTCTGGCAACAGTGCAGGAAGTTGAGAATACGTTGCTTTGATAACAATTGCTTAGTCTTGAAATTTTGTTTTTAAATTCTTTTGACTAGTTAAAACTTGGTTGATGGAATAGTAAATGAGGTCTGGATTCCATATCTAATGGTAAAAGTTAGTACAGTACACTGTTGTAAGTTGATAAGACTATACCTTGCCGATCTCTGCCCACCAGTCTTCGGTCTCATTCATGTTCCTGTGCCTCGGTGGAATGTACCAGAAACCGACCTTGTTACCCTGAAACTGAACTCTAATCATAAATCTCCATGAATTCGGTCTGTTTGCTAAACAGAACTCGGAATGCACCCCGGTAAACGTATTGAGCATTGTGTGTAGCGTGTGGCATTTCTTATGTTGTTGTTGATACGTTATTGATGTGTTAAGTTTGCACTAAATTTTGCCCTACCTCAGGTAGAACAGGTCGAAATCCATCCCTTATTGTTAATTCATCCATGAAGTATCTGGAAGGACCAAGTTGCTATCAATCCACGGGAAACACTTTCCCCCGGGGGTAGATGGACGGTCAAGTGATGTGGCTGCACTTGTGTTAGGATTAGGGTTAGGTAAATAAGGCCATGTCTAGCACGGAAGTATGACTGTGGAATCTTTCTGTGGAAGATTTGTACTTTGAAGCATCTAGTATGATCTACGCCATCTACGCTTGGGGGAAAGTGACACCCTCAATTCATTGGTTGTATGACTGCAGTTCCATCTGTTATCAATAGTAGGAAACTTGCAGATTGACACAGGCTTTATTTTGGTGTGCATTTTTTTGATATGATATTCGTAAGATTTGACAACCCTTCGTAACATATGTCATTGTAGTTCATAGGCTAACCTGGCCTGAGTAAATGCGCTTTCTACTAGCTTTGCCATTCCGATATCCCCTTTGGCTTTCCACATGATCCATAGCTTGCCACTGTCCACTTTTCTTCCACACTGCACTGATTGGTCACCAATGTCGTAGGCAACATCATAGAATTTGTCTCGTTGAAACAGATAGGTTGCTTCTAGTTTGTTGCAGCTGTCCAGTAAACCCTGCCAGCAAAAAAAAATTCCTGTCTTCCATCCTCGTAGCGAAACTAAATGGTACCTAGGCATGTAACATTACTGAGATGGTGCCAGTTACCTTCTCCTTGATCAGAAAGACTGTGCAGTCAAGAGGCACCCCAAGCAGCCCGTGGGGACTCCATGCCACGGAATCGGCCCTGAAAAGCAACATCCCACGCGTTATCACGACAATGCGATCTAAATTAATAATCTAATTGTATTTTGACATAATTTCTGATTCATGAAAAATATTACATGTTGATTCCATGCATCAGATGGCGGTGGACATCAGAGAGCAGTACGCCTCCCAGGTTGTACGCCTGTAGAACAGAAGTGGAAATTAACACCCCCGTTCGAAATCACCGAACATTGGCTACTTGATTCCGTTTCCCTATCGCAGCCGGAAATGAAAACCTACATCTACGTGGAGCCAGACTTGGTGGTTCTGACACACGTTGGCGATTCTGTCCAATGCATCACAGGATCCCAGTGTTGGTGTTCCACTTGTGGCACACACGAGGATGGGTACTACTCCCTGAAAATAACAGAAGGAAAACCCTGAAGCAAGCTGATTGCAACACGTGCACCAATATATCTACCAGCAGTATCATACTCACAGTTGTTATTACTATATATAGATACTCTATTTTGACTTATAAGTGATATTGGAAAGTCCAGCTGTGCTATTTAGGTCACAGAAAAAGGCGGTATAAAATGGCCGAGGCGTTCTTGGGAAAGTACATGATTAATGTAAACACTTGTGCGTTTTTCGTTTTTGCATTAACACAAACATTGCAAAATATTCCAAATGACTACAATCATATTTGTAAATATTTCTGTACCCCTTCTTATCTGATCTCAATATGGCAGCGGGGACTTTCTGATATATGGCTTATTAATAAATATAATGCTATGATTATTTACATTTAATTTTGTAGTCTAATCAACGTGGCAGTAGATGCACTGCTAGACACCCAAAGCCAACATAGATAACATAGATAGTGCTCATAGTGTCTATGTCCCCCAGTGTACTGCCGGAACGTACCCTGGGTAAGGTCCACCCTGGTAACTATTTGATATGGTTAGGGAGTAGGTGTAGGCGACTCCCTAGACTCGTTAGTGGAGTAGGCGAGGTACGGTCCTGCATATTAGATAGTACCAGGTACCCAGGTTACGTTCCAGCAGTACCCTGGCGGACATAGACCCTCTCAGCATTAATGGTCTATACTTCTTTGGTTGCTCTGGAAATAGCCTTATCGAGTGCAATAGGATCCATGCACCCTCTGTTATCAGTCTCTATCAAAACAACATTATCCAATCCTAGTCCGACAAGAGAAGCAATTCTTTGTAAGGAAGTATCACTCTGTGCAGAAATGAAGAAAAAACGGTGACATGCACTTTATCGTGTAGGTTGCTAAGAGGACTGCATGGAACTTACAGTAGTAAATGCACGTATTCTTGGCACATAGACAGGTGAGATAAGGAAGGTTATTAATAATTCTGCATTGTGGCAGCTTCCAGGGTTGTTGCCGAATACGATGGCAAATAATACTGTGCTATATATAATAACCTTGTTATATACAGCTCGGTGGAAAATAAAAGCAATTTCACAAGTTATTTAGTTTAATTGGACAGTGCTGCCATCTGTATTAGTAAACATAAAAGTTTTCGTGATCGCACATGATGCAAAGTTTACTCGCTACCTGCGCGTGTGTTTTCGCTGAGGCGTTTTTAACCATGTACCTGTTCAGAGCCGAATACTGCCATTCTAGGAAGTGACTGCACCCCCTCTGTCTTCACCATTGGGTACTTCTTGTACCTAGCCGTTACTAATCCATACATGTTGCATATTGCGTGCCCTAGAGAAAAAAGAACGTTTCTTTTCTATACAAACAGTGCAGACACGTGTACGTACACGCGGACGCGCACACGAGCAGTCGTGTGTGCATATATT